CATGTTGTCATGTGTAATGTAGGTACCATATATATCCCGGACGAGAATGATGTAATGCCCATTTGAAACGAAGCTCGTTGCCATTGCAAACACAAGAAAGCAAGCTTTCTAAATATGTAGGCTTTAATGGGGTAGCTAATGTTGGGTATAGTTTGTGTTACTTGTACCCAACTTTCTCGATAGTCGAACGATCCTTTCCCTTTACTCTCGACAATAACAATATATTTCAACAATAACAATTTCGAGGCTTAACAAACACTCCCTCCCTTATTAGCTAACTGGGGGTGTTCTATTTTTGGGGGGTCTTATATCCGGGGATTACGGTAGTTTAAGTGCGGTCCTTCCAGCGGATAAAAATATTGGTTTCCCTAGAACATTGAATGATGCGAATCATGTGGCACAAGATTCATTCGGGTTCAATGGCCAGCTCGGACACAGAACACCCAATTCTGGATCATTTGCTCTCAGTCCAGAGATGATGGCGACTGCTGCTTCTGTCTATCCAATGTCTCTTAGCCATGCGAATCACACAAGTCTACAACGAATCAAGGGCCCTGGGCGGGAGTGCACAAGTCAACAACAACCCTCTCTACGCTGGTGCCTAGACCGACGCCCTCTGCAGCATGGCAGTGAGGGCACGCGCACTGGCCTCCTCACTCCACTCCAAACTACGCCGTCTCGCCGCCAGCCCCACCTGCGCCAGATGCTGCCTGTCCCGCAACAGCGCCAGAATGCTCTCAGCAACAACTGGCAGGGCGGCAGAGAGGTCCACCGGCAGTGCCAGCTGCTCTTCGGGCGACAGGAGCTCGGCTGCTCCCACGGCGCCGCCCGGGCCGACGTGGATGACGGAGGGTGCAGAAAAGGCTGCCGCCTCAACGACTGTCATGCCGTATGCGTCGTACAGACAGGGGTGGATGTTGAGCAGCGTCTGGGGGGGGGGGGGGGGGGGAGGTGGAGGAGAGGGAGAGGGAGAGGGAGAGAGGGGAGAGGGGGAGAGGGGGAGGGGGGAGAGAGGGAGAGGACGAGGGAGGAAAGGGGCGATGGGGAGAGGGAGAGTGGGGAAGAGGGGGAGAGCGGGAGAAAGGGAGAGGGGAAGAAAGGGAGAGGGGAGAAGGAGAGTGTGGGTGCATGAGAAACAGGACATGGCAGATAGGAATGGGGGCGTGAGGATGGGGGAGCAAAAGGAGGAATGAGGTGAATGCGAACACCAGTGACACAGAATGAGGTATACTGTGGTGGGATCGTGCAGGTGGTGTGTGTGTGAGAAGAGGGAAGTAGGGCATCGACTGCAGCACCACTGCCAGGCTGTCGTTACATTCAGGGCGATGGACACATGGGCACAGGCGGCAACGCAGGCATGAGCAGTCAGGCAGTGACACGGGTACCCATGGCCATTACCTGCAAGTAAAGCTGCGCCATCCTTTCAGGCCCCATGAAGCCATCCACCACCACGGCACCCGGTGCAGCCGCCACCACCTCGTGCAGCACGGCCTCCCCGAAGGCACCGCGTGTGGCGGCAGTGCCGCCGCACAGCAGGGGCGTGACGCCCAGAGCTGCCAGGTGCGGCGCCAGCAGGCGCAGCAGGGGAGGCAGCAAGGCGGCGTTCTTCTCGGGGGAGAGGCGCACACAGCACACCAGGTACAGTCGCTCCGATGGCCATGAGGCCGCGCTCACTGCGGTTGGGAGGAGGGATTGAGGGAGCAGGTGGAGTGACAAGTGGCTCGGAAGCTGGGAAAGCCGTCAGGGTCTGTCGCAGAAGAGATGGACGCAGCTGGGGGGTTGGACACAAGCTGGGGCGTCAACAGACGGAGGTAGGAGCGGGGATAAGAGACGTGGGGAGGGCTGGAAGGGAAGAGTAGCTTTGGTGGACGGTAGTACATTTTGATGTTGGCGTGCTGTCCGGTGCACTGACACGAACAGCGCCCAGTTGACCTGCTCTGCTCTCCACCGCTTGCCTTCCCTACTGTCAATCACTTACTCTCCTTGGTTGCTGCGACAACAAAAGGAACACCAAGTCCTTGACAACGAGCAATAGATCTATTGCTCCTTGTCAACCCCACACACACTTCCACTTTCACTCACTCTCTCGCCCCGCTGCCAGCACGCGGATGTCTTCTCGGAGGGGCGGCAGCAGCGCGTGTGGCTCCACCCCTGCCTTGCGCCCCGTGCCCAGGCTCTCTGCCAGGTACCGTGCGTCCCTGGGAGCATGGGGGGAGACATGGGAGCTGGATGAAGGCGAAGTGGGGATGGGCCAGAATGAGCTTCAGATATTGGGCAAAATGGGCTTCACTTCCCTACCATTTGAAGTGATCAGGTTATCAGAGCAATCCATCTTGCGCTGCAAGCAACCCATCTCGCTGTGCTATCACAACTCCTCACCTCACAACCGCTCATCGCACAACCTCTCATCGCACAACAACCGCTCATCTCCCAAGTGCTCATCTCACAACAACCGCTCATCTCCCAAGTGCTCATCGCACAACAACCGCTCATCTCCCAAGTGCTCATCGCACAACAACCGCTCATCTCCCAAGTGCTCATCTCAAAATCGCCCATGGCATCTCACCGTGTGCTGAGGGCCGTGACGACATCTCACCGTGTGCTGAGGGCCGTGACGACATCCGCCATGGCAACTGCCTCGCTCTCCTTCTCCCGGTAAAACGCCCGATCCCTGCCCGCCTCCGTCTCCACCTCCGCCCCCCGCTCACCCTTCTCCCCGGCACTGTCGGCTGCAGCAGGGCCAGACGTGGTGGCGGCAGACGGCTGGTAGTGTGAGAGCGAGTACACGCGCAAGTTGAGATACGCCATGCGTGGCCGCCTGGGTGCTTGCTGAGCCCGCTGCTCTGCTGCCTGTCCTCCTGACCTCCCACTCTCACCACCGCCATCCACCACACTGCTACCCGCAATGCGACCCTCACCACCACCCTCACCGCCATGCGCAGCAACAGTGTCAGCCCACACGGGTGCAGCAGCAAGGGCGGTGAAGGCGGGCACGGCGGACCAGTCCACCACCAGCGCCCACTGTGGGGCAAACTGCGCCACTCTGCGCGCCACCTCCGTCCCCCCTGACCCCTCTTCGCCCGCCAGCCGGTGCGCCCACTGCTGCCAGCAGCAGCGCCAGTCCAGCCGCCCCCACGCGCTCACTGGCACCTCCACCACGCACTGCTCCACCTGCCCCGCCTCCCCCACCTCCACCACTCCGCGCCGCTCCGCCTCCACGGACTTCTCCTCCTCCTCTGCCCCGTTCCTCTGGCCCCCCACGCTGCTGCCGCCGCGCTCACAGGGTGCGCCCGCCGCTGCTGCGTTCTGGTTGCCACCTGCCTGCTGAGCCACGGCGCAAAGCTGGCCTGCGGAGTGGAGAGAGCCTGTAGGGCGCTGCTGGCGCAGCCTTATGACGATGGGCGCCGAGGGCTCAGGAGGAGAGGCGGATGGATTGGGCGGAGGGAGTGCGGTGGTGCGAGGAGGGGGAGCTGCACTGCAGGGGAAGGGGGAGGGAGGGGAGGTGCGGCGGGGGGAGAGGGGAGCATTGTTGGGGCAGAAGGGGAAAGGCTCGTCAAAGAAGGGAAGAGCAGGTGGCAGGCCAGCGAAGGCAGCACGACTGGCACGAGATGAGAACCTGCTTGGCACAACTAGGGCCAGGCGCGCGTCCCGCCACCACATCGCCGTCTGCTCGTCACACCGCCTCTCCTCACTTCACCCACTCTCGCACTTTCTCTCCTCGCCTCCCCGCATCCCTCTCCCCGGCCCCCCCTACCCCCGCACCTGACGACCATCACGGAGTGGCCGTGAGCGACGAGCGAGCGCACGAGCGACTGCGAGTAGACGCCGTTGCCGCTGAACGTGCCCGCGCGGTACTCCAGCGATACCAGCACAACCCGCAACCCCTCCTTCGCTCCGCCATTTCCGCTCGCCGCCGCCCTGCCGTCCGCCTCTGCGGCGGCCTCCGGCGCAAAATGCGCGCCGGGTAAGTTCCCGCCCTGTGCGCCTTCGTCTGCTGCCGCCGGCATGTCCCTCGCTACCGCGCGGAGGTTCCGCGCGCGTACGAGTTCGGACCAGTTATTCTGGCGGCGGAAAGCGACTAGGAGAAACAGTAGGAGGAACGTCGCCGAGGCTGCGAGAACGATCGCAAGAGAATGCAGCAGGCGCGGACGGGAGAGCGGAAATGAGCGACGAGACGTGCGCTCTGAACGACGTACAGAGATCGTGGGTGACTGAGATGACAAGAGTCTGGGTGGTGAACTGGCGGCCGAGCGGGAATGGCGGGGAGCAGATGTCATAGAAGGCACTCCGCCACCAGCACACCGATCACGAAAATGCACAAATGGCAGAAGTATGTATTATTGTTATTAGGCATTTTCGAGGTATATATTTTGTAAGAACATTTATTATCTCTGAGTTTTCCTTCATATTATTTTAACAAAGGTGGGATTTGTATGATTTTTCAGTATTTAAATATAATTTATTTGTTTGTATGTGCTTTTCTCTTAAGGCTTTTCCAATTTGAATAGTTATCATGATTTACATTCTATAATGCGTGATCCATACACAGTTCCGATTCGAGTCCGTCTGTGAAAACTGTCCGTGTCTGTATCGCGGATGGGTTACGACGAAATCAAGGAATGAGCTCCTTTCGTCTTGACGCTGATCGCTGTCGGTCAGTCACACCCCCCTCTCTCCCTCCTCCCTGGTCCCACGCTTTCGGCTTCAAGGCACGCCACGCCTTCCTTCCACAAGCAGTTGCTCACCTTTCTCATTCAACCCCTACGGTATTGGAAATCATCGTAGCAATTTCACGAGCATCAGATTTCAGCATGGCTAGCGCACCCGCAAGCTGATCTGATTCGTGGAGGGCCCTCTGCAAATTCCTTCTCAGTCAGTTTCTTGCTTCCATACCGAATTCTAAGTCGCCTCTAGATTCAGCAAGGGCTCTATTCTTGAGGCGCCTAAAATTAGGCGTCTCTTTCCAGAAACGACGGCTTTTTGAGGGAGTGAGTCTCGCGATGGGGAGCGACGGCGATGGCGACGGCGAGGCGGGGATGCGGATGCAGCTCGTGTCGGGGACGGGCGAGTTCGATCGCGAGGGGCTCGAGCGATTCGCGCGTGCGACGCGGATGACGGAGTGCGGCTTGTCGTACGCCGTCATCGCCATCGTCGGACCGCAGAGCAGCGGTACGCGCCTTGCCTCAGCAGCGGTACGCGCCTTGCCTCAGCAGCGGTACGCGCCTTGCCTCAGCAGCGGTACGCGCCTTGCCTCAGCAGCGATACACGCCTTGCTTGTCCCAAGCCTCCCCTGCCGCTCGCCCCCGGCTTCTTGCTTCACGCGTAAAGCTCTCGCTAGCTCCTTGAACCCGTCGGCCCAGCGAATTCCGCAGCCATGTCATGGGCTTATGTTGGTGCCTCAGCGCCCATCGTCACTCCTTGAAACCGCATCTCACCGCAGTTCCCCTGGTCTTGCGGATGGCGCGGCGCATCTGCATGCTGCCCTGCACCTTACAGTGCTGTTGAGAATCCTCACACGAATTCTGAAATGAGGAAGAAAACGAAAAGTTAGAAGGCATGCAGTGCAGTGCGCTGACGTGGTATTGTGAAGCGCGGATGGGCTCTGCCCTCTTGCTGCTGCTTGCCGTCTAGCCCCTCATCCCCTATAGCGCCACTCGTCGTGTGCTGGCATATCACACGCACATGATAGGCCCCTCTGGACTTGAGCCAAACGCTTGTCTACCGCCATTCATTTTGTTGTGTTACTTTTCTGTTACCACCCTGTCTGTCAACCAACCCCGTGTGACGGGCATGTCACTCACCCACCCGCGTGTCACCGCACCCCGTGTGTGGGGTGGGCAGGCAAGAGCACGCTGCTAAATCACCTCTTCCACACGACCTTCGATGAGATGGACGCGCTCAAGGGCAGGCGGCAGACGACGCAGGGCATCTGGGTGGCGGAGGCGCGCGGCATTCGGCCGTTCACCCTCGTGCTGGACATCGAGGGCACTGACAGCCGCGAGCGCGGCGAGGTGCGTCGCAGGGGGGGGGCAGACGAGGGCGAGGTGGGGGGGGGATGGGGAAGAGGGCAGTGGCGAGACGAGGGTGAGGGGGGCAGGGTGAGGGGCAAGGTGAGTGTGCGGTTGAAGCACGGGGACTTGTGAGCGGATTCACAACGTATTCAGCCGTTCACCTTCGTGCTTGACCTCAGAGGCACTCACTGACGGCTGTCACAGGGCCGACCCACGTGGCCAGCGTATGGGGGATTGCCAAGTCCTGATTGCCCAAATCTTGCCCCCCTTCCTTCCCTCCGCTCCACCCCTCATCAAATGTGCTCCCTGCCCTCGCCTCGCCTTCCTCCCTCTGCCCACCCACCCCCCTTTCCCCCTTCTCTACCCCATGTCCACCCATCAACTCTTCCCATGTTAACCCCCCCCTCGTTCCCCCTCCCCACTCTTTGCCTGCGGGCAGGACAACAGTTCACACCCCCTGCCTGACCCGTTTCCCTCTGCTCCCCCCCCCCCCTCCGCGCCCACCTCCCCCTCCCCTTACTGCACCTGTGGCACAGGACGACACCACGTTTGAGAAGCAGAGCTCGCTCTTTGCCCTCGCTGTCGCTGACGTCATCATCGTTAACATGTATGTATGGCCCTGCGGCCGTGGGCGTGGCGACACACGCTTGGTGTTGATGGTTTCATTCACTCACGTGGCATGACATGCCATGCCATGCCATGCATGGTCACATGTGCTCAGTACCTGATGCTGATGTCCCTGTGGCCTACTATTGTCCATTTGTTTCTTCCACTAATGCCGCACATCATGGTATTGCAAGCGCATGTGCATCCATCCGTCGCCTCTCCGCGCATACCCTCGTGGATCACCACTTGTTTCGCACTTCAAACTGCAACTTCAACTTCAACTGCACCTGCAACTGCCTCACCTTATTGCCCTGCATCACCAACCATTACGTTGCCCTGTGCGGCGCTGTCCTGTCGTGTCATGCCAGGTGGTGCCACGACATTGGTCGAGAGCAAGCCTCCAACAAGCCATTGCTGAAAACGGTCTTTCAGGTGCGCCCTGCGTGTGTGCTGTGCTGTGCTGTGCTGTGCTGTGCTGTGCTGTGCTGTGCTGTGCTGTATGCACATCTTAGACTTTCTGCGGCAAGCCTCCCTGCTTCTAACTTTCAGCTGCGTGTGGACTGTGTCCCGTTCAAACTTTGAGACGTCTCGTGTCTCATCTCATACTGAGCAACAACCCTCCCACTGCTCCTCCCCCATCCCTTCTTGTGGTGAGGCAGGTGATGATGCGCCTGTTCTCGCCGCGCAAGGCCACGCTGCTCTTCGTCATCCGCGACAAGACCAAGGTGCCTCGCACGCTGCACTGCTGCACCCACCCACTCTTCTCGCTCACTGCTGCAATCCATGCTAGTATCACCTGCTTCATCCCATTTCATCTCTGTGTGCTGCGTGCCTCTGTGCCCCCTGTCATCCCACATCCCACCCACCTCTGTGTGTGCTGCCTGTGTGCGTGCGCGCCATGGCATGGCATGGCGGGGCAGACCCCAATGGAGACACTCGAGCCCATATTGAGGGAGGACATTCAAAAGGTGCGCCGCCCATGCCTTGCCTTGGGCCTTGTCAACAAAAGGGCTTGCTGGAAACGTTGATGCTTTTCTCCATTCACCCGATTGGATTAGGTGCATATTATTGGATAGTATCCAATCAAATCGTTTACAGCGTTGGTTCCTTGCAGGTCCAGCCGCATGACTTGTCTGCATCATGTGTCTCTCGTTTCTTCCTCCTGCCTTCTCGCCTCTGCTACTCACTTGTGTGTCGGCTGCAGATATGGCAGAGCGTACCCAAGCCGCAGAAGCATCACGACACACCCTTTGCTGACTTCTTCAATGTATGCTCTTAACAGCTGCTTCCTTCCAGCGTTGATTGATTCTGCATGCTGTTGTCAACAAGTTTAGAATCACCCCACACAATCATTGAGCACACCCTTTGTTGACTTCTCATATGTATGTGACTTTCAGCTGCTTGCAACGTTCCTTGATGTCACAGTCTGTGTGTTGAGAACTCTCAACAACAGTCTGCAAAATTTTCCAACACACGCTGCGTATCTAGCTTTCAGCTGATTCCTTCGTTTCATTCGTCCCCCCCTGCCTCCCCTTCCCTTTCCCTTCCCTTGTTGCTTTCTTCCCTCTGCCCCTCTTTCCTCCCTTCCCTCGACTCGTTCGTTCTCCCCTTCCATCTCTCCTGCCCTTCGCTCATATCCTCCATGTAGCTACCTAGCCCCCATCCACATCCGGCCTCCTCGTGTGTGTGTGCGCGCATGTGCATGTGTGTCCTTATGCATATGCATTTGCATGCGATTGTGCATGGGCATGGGCATGGGATGTGCATGGCATGTGCATGTGCATGGGCATGGGCATGGGCATGGGCATGGGCATGGGCATGGGATGGGCATGGCATGTGCTTGTGCATGTGCATGCATACGTGTGTAACAGGTGGAGGTCACAGCTCTGCCCAACTTTGAGGAGAGAGAGGAGGACTTCAAGAGCCAGGTGTGCAGCCTGTGCTGTTGCAAACGTACAGTCTTCTCCTCTCCCCACCCTCGAAATCTCCTTTCGCCTTTCCAGTCAAGCTATTCCTGCTTGGCTGCCTAATCGGGCGTCGCCACCCCGCTCCGCCCCGACCCGGTCCCGCTCTCCGCCCCAGTTGCAGGACTCGATGGTGGGGGGGCGGATGGCGGGGAACTTGCAGGAGACTCGTGGGGCTCAACCCCCTTTCGTGGGGCTCGTGGGGCTCAACCATTGATGCCCGCATGCCGGGGCTCAGCCCCCTACTTCCCTCATTGATTTCGCCCACTTTCCAATATCCCCAACTTTTTCCTTTTTTTTTCTCCTTAGGTGGCACAGCCTAGGGAGTGGTTTCAGGATTCGGTGGCGGAGGGGCGGGTGGAGGGGGACTGGCGGGGCTCAAGTTTCTAAAGACCCTGTTTAACCCGCAATCTCCCACCGCCTTCAACCCAACTCCCCCACCCCTAACCTACCCCCCTGTGCAGGTAGCACGGCTGAGGGAGCGGTTTCAAGACTCGGTGGCGGAGGGGCGGCTGGCGGGGGACCGGCGGGGGGTGGTGCCGGCATCGGGGTTCCCCTTGAGCGTGGCGGAGATGTGGCGCGTGATACGCGAGAACAAGGACCTCGACCTGCCCGCTCACAAGGTGTGCTGCGCGGCTCTGTCTGTGCTTGTGTGCGAGTATGTGAGATTGTGTGGGAGGATATGTTTCCTTGTGGACGATTGGTAAGAGGGAAGGAGGGAGGCGAAGATATGTCGAGGGACAAGGACCTTGTCTTGCTCGCCCACAAGGTGTGTGTGCTGTGCTCGCCCACAAGGTGTGTGTGCTGTGCTCGCCCACAAGGTGTGTGTGCTGTGCTCGCCCACAAGGTGTGTGTGCTGTGCTCGCCCACAAGGTGTGTGTGCTGTGCTCGCCCACAAGGTGTGTGTGCTGTGCTCGCCCACAAGGTGTGTGTGCTGTGCTCGCCCACAAGGTGTGTGTGCTGTGCTCGCCCACAAGGTGTGTGTGCTGTGCTCGCCCACAAGGTGTGTGTGCTGTGCTCGCCCACAAGGTGTGTGTGCTGTGCTCGCCCACAAGGTGTGTGTGCTGTGCTCGCCCACAAGGTGTGTGTGCTGTGCTGCGGGGCTCTATCTATTCATGCTTGTGTGAGGATGCTATTTCTTGGGGTTTTGTCCCATGTGTGTGTGTGGATGAAGGAGTGTGACCGAGTGGGGCCTTACGATTTCCTCCTTCCATGCGAGTGTCCTTGCACCACTCTCGTTGCACCATTCACTCTGGTTTTCCCCCTACCACCACCCCACCCTAACAAGAGATGGTGACGCTAGTGCCCCGTGACCAGATCGCCACAGAGGCGATGGTTGCTTATCCCCCTGTCCTCCCCCTTCCCCCTCCCCACCTTGTCTCTCTCCCCACCGTCTCTCCCCACCCCTCCTTCCCTCTCCACCCCACCAGGTGATGGTGGCCACGGTGCGCTGTGAGCAGATCGCCGCGGAGAAGCTCACCCAGCTGCAGGAGAGCGAGGTGAGCCCAGCTGCAGGAGAGCAAGGTGAGGTGCGGTGCAGCGATGCACCGGTGATGTGATGCGCATTTGCGTGGCGTTGTTTCTTCCACTCGCCTTTCCTGACTGGTATTCCTCATGTCCATTATTGAAACCACCCTTGCATGTCTTCTGTGTACCTACCGCTGCCTACAATATCAGAAATTGGTGCCCCTTCCATTCCAACCCCCATCTCTGTGATTTCTCCTCACCTCACCTCTCGTCTCTCCAACCCCCACTGCCCTCTCTCCCGGGCATCAGGAGTGGGTGGAGCTACAGGCAGCAGTGGAGGCGGGCAAAGAGGCGGACCACTTCGGTGGGCGGGCGAACGAGCTCGCAGCTAGTGCTCTTGCCACGTGAGTCACATGGCTTGCCTTGGTATGGCATAGCATGGCTTAATATGGTATGGCATGACATTGTTGTACGGCATGAGAGTGGGGGTCTTCGCATAAATACTGCTTCATGAGGGGGGCATGCATGGCAAGCCATGGCACGGCATTCTTTCGGTTGGAATTGACGTTCTTGTTTTCTCTCTTTCCGCACTGTCTTTCCCTTTCCTTTCTTCTTCCTCACCTTGTCTACTATCCCTTCCTCAGCTTGTCTACTATCCCTTCCTCAGCTTGTCTACTATCCCTTCCTCAGCTTGTCTACTATCCCTTCCTCAGCTTGTCTACTATCCCTTCCTCAGCTTGTCTACTATCCCTTCCTCAGCTTGTCTACTATCCCTTCCTCAGCTTGTCTACTATCCCTTCCTCAGCTTGTCTACTATCCCTTCCTCAGCTTGTCTACTATCCCTTCCTCAGCTTGTCTACTATCCCTTCCTCAGCTTGTCTACTATCCCTTCCTCAGCTTGTCTACTATCCCTTCCTCAGCTTGTCTACTATCCCTTCCTCAGCTTGTCTACTATCCCTTCCTCAGCTTGTCTACTATCCCTTCCTCAGCTTGTCTACTATCCCTTCCTCAGCTTGTCCACTATCCCTTCCTCAGCTTGTCTACTATCCCTTCCTCAGCTTGTCTGCTATCCCTTCCTCAGCTTGTCTACTATCCCTTCCTCAGCTTGTCTACTATCCCTTCCTCAGCTTGTCTACTATCCCTTCCTCAGCTTGTCTACTATCCCTTCCTCAGCTTGTCTGCTATCCCTTCCTCAGCTTGTCTACTATCCCTTCCTCAGCTTGTCTACTATCCCTTCCTCAGCTTGTCTACTATCCCTTCCTCAGCTTGTCTACTATCCCTTCCTCAGCTTGTCTACTATCCCTTCCTCAGCTTGTCTACTATCCCTTCCTCAGCTTGTCTACTATCCCTTCCTCAGCTTGTCTACTATCCCTTCCTCAGCTTGTCCACTATCCCTTCCTCAGCTTGTCTACTATCCCTTCCTCAGCTTGTCTACTATCCCTTCCTCAGCTTGTCTACTATCCCTTCCTCAGCTTGTCTACTATCCCTTCCTCAGCTTGTCCACTATCCCTTCCTCAGCTTGTCTACTATCCCTTCCTCAGCTTGTCTACTATCCCTTCCTCAGCTTGTCTACTATCCCTTCCTCAGCTTGTCCACTATCCCTTCCTCAGCTTGTCTACTATCCCTTCCTCAGCTTGTCTACTATCCCTTCCTCAGCTTGTCTACTATCCCTTCCTCAGCTTGTCTACTATCCCTTCCTCAGCTTGTCTACTATCCCTTCCTCAGCTTGTCTACTATCCCTTCCTCAGCTTGTCTACTATCCCTTCCTCAGCTTGTCTACTATCCCTTCCTCAGCTTGTCTACTATCCCTTCCTCAGCTTGTCTACTATCCCTTCCTCAGCTTGTCTACTATCCCTTCCTCAGCTTGTCCACTATCCCTTCCTCAGCTTGTCTACTATCCCTTCCTCAGCTTGTCTACTATCCCTTCCTCAGCTTGTCTACTATCCCTTCCTCAGCTTGTCTACTATCCCTTCCTCAGCTTGTCCACTATCCCTTCCTCAGCTTGTCTACTATCCCTTCCTCAGCTTGTCTACTATCCCTTCCTCAGCTTGTCTACTATCCCTTCCTCAGCTTGTCCACTATCCCTTCCTCAGCTTGTCTACTATCCCTTCCTCAGCTTGTCTACTATCCCTTCCTCAGCTTGTCTACTATCCCTTCCTCAGCTTGTCTACTATCCCTTCCTCAGCTTGTCTACTATCCCTTCCTCAGCTTGTCTACTATCCCTTCCTCAGCTTGTCCACTATCCCTTCCTCAGCTTGTCTACTATCCCTTCCTCAGCTTGTCCACTATCCCTTCCTCAGCTTGTCTACTATTCCTTCCGCCTCCCTATCGCTGCTTCCGTTCCTCTGCGTTTGTTCACTGGCAACGGCGAGGCAGCGGGAGGGATCGAGAATGCCCGCTTTCCACGCTCCCATCACCACTCTCACCTTCCTCTCAGCTAGGGCGCAGAGAAAGGGACATGCCCCATGCATGTTCACCCTGTCCTCATTCCCTCTCGTCTGCTGCCTCTCCTGTACTGCTTCCTGTGCCCCCCCTCTGCTCTGCTTCCCAGCTGTGATGCGAAGGCAGCATACTTTGAGGAGGGTGTGATGGGCGTGCCGCGTGTATACTCCTGCACTCCCTCTTCCCCTCTGCTGAGTCTTTCTTTGCTGCCTCTCCTCTACTGCTTCCCGTGTTCCCCCCCTGCACTGTTTCCCAGGTACGATGCGGAGGCGGCATACTTCGAGGAGGGAGTGAGGGACAGCAAGCGCCAGTTCCTGCTCAAAGGCATGAGCGCCGTGAGTGCTGCAAGGGGGCATGAGCGCCGTGAGTGCTGCAAGGGGGCATGAGCGCCGTGAGTGCTGCAAGGGGGCATGAGCGCCGTGAGTGCTGCAAGGGGGCATGAGCGCCGTGAGTGCTGCAAGGGGGCATGAGCGCCGTGAGTGCTGCAAGGGGTAAAGGAGGCAGGCGGGGGGAAAGAGAGGCTTGAATTTCCACGTGCGTTGGGCTTGGGATACTTGGAACTGCTCCCGTTGGTTTCTGTTTCTCTCGTCTCTTAAATCTCGTTCTCTCTTTTCTTATCCTCTTCTTTCCAATGGGTTTGTTTCCCCCAAGCCCTCATGCTGCCATCTCCCTCGACCTTTTAATGCTAGCTGTATTGCCAGCACCCTTTCTACCTCATGCTCCCCCTTACTCCTCACACCTGTGTTCCCATGCCGCACGTCTCCTGTTCTCTTTCCAACCCCAGCCGTCTCCCCCCTCCAATCAGCTCATCCGTCAAGTGTACACGGCAGTGGTGGCGGCGGCAGCAGCTCGCTGCGTCACAGGGGGGCTGCAAAGGGGACCAACCCACGTCTCTCTTGTGTCGTCCTAACCTCTTCATCCCTTCCCTGTGCGCACCCTCTGGCCCGCCACCTCCAATCAGCTCATCCGCCCAGTGCACACGGCAGTGGTGGCGGCGGCAGCAGCTCGCTGCTTCGATTCCTTCAAGAGGGACCTGGACGAAGAGACAGGGGGGCGAGAGGGCAGCGCTGCCTCCTTTGCCAACTCCTCTGCTGCGTGCCTGCAGGCTGCTGCTGTCTCCTTTGACTCCGATGTTGAGGGTGAGTGCTGTGTTGTGTTGTGTCCCAATGGGAACGCTGTGCTAGCTTGCCATGCCGGTGCTGCTCCTCCTCACTGCATGCACATTCCACGCTCGCATTCGATTCTTCTGCCCACCTCCAATCCCCGAGTTGGCTGCTGATGAAGGCGACAACCGAGGCCTGCTGTTGTGCTCAACTTGCCTTGACTCGCTGCTTCTGTCTCTGCCCCATAATTCCAGACGCTGACGTGGCGCTGTTCAATTGGTCGGTGGAGGACGTGACGGCGAAGCTCATGGCTGATATGGAATCCCACGTGGCGTTGCTGCGATCACAGAAGCTCAAACAGATCGTCACGGATGCAGAGGTGAGTGTGGTTTGGTTTGGGTAGGTGGTGTGTGTCTGACTGGACGGGTCGTGTGTTTCCAGAGGATGTTGTGAGGGTTAGGCTTTTGGCATGATGAAGAGGAGGATATGTTTGCTCGAGATTCAGTTCATGTCGCTCAAGAGCCCCCAACCCTCCATCCTACTGCCCGCTCCCACCTCTTTCTTCCTCCTCTTGCATCCCCCCTTCTTGCCGCCCGTAGGCGTCCCTATCACACGACATATCGGAGCCCATAGCGGCAGAACGAGAAGCCATCACAGAGAACACGTGGCGGGATATCCGAGCAGTTTCTCCTGGCGGAGGACGAGGAGCAGCCGCGCTTGATGGCTCCTCTTGCTCCGTACCTCTCGCTTCCCATCTCTTGCCTCCCACCCACCCTCCGCCCCCTCCTCTCCTCCCCAGGCGTCCCTGTCAGAGGCAATCTCGGAGCCCATAGCAGCGCTGCTAGAGGCAGTGACGGACAACACGTGGCGGGACATCCGAGCCGTGTTCTTCCACCAGCTGGACGGCGCATGCAGCGACGTGGAGCAGGCCGTGGCGGGGTTCCAGCTGGGGGACGACGAGCACACACGGCTCAAGGGCGCGGTGGAGGCGGCGGGGAGGAAGGTGGTGGAGGAGCGGGTGAAGAGGGAGAGCCAGCATGCGCTGTCGCTCATGAAGGACAGGTGCGAGTTGATGGCCACGCCGCCTTGGGTTTGGCTGTTTGGGACTCGAAAGTGGGGTTGATTGATTGGGAGTGGACTCTTGAGTGTGCGGATGGAGGAGCAGCGGGTGTGGTGAAAGAGTGAGCTTGTGCTGTCTCTCCTGGAGTGGAGTGGAGAGGAGTGGAGTGAGCTGGTTGAGGGAACGTCTGGTTGTGAGGATTGGGGAGGAGGGGTTGTGGCGGAGTGGACTCATGACGGTGGTTACTGAATTCTGTGGTGTTGTGTGCGTGCGTGCGTGCGTGCGTGCGTGCGTGCGTGCGCGTGTGTGTGTGTGTGTGTGTGTGTGTGTGTGTGTGTGTGGAGAAGAGAGTCTTTGCTTCCCGTCTTCAGGACACATGTCATCCATCCACTATGCCCTTCAATTCGTCCTCCACCGCTCTGCACCGCTCGTCATTCCTCTCCATGCTGCCCATGCAATGTATAGTGGACTCCTTGAATTCACACTGCACCACCCTTTTGCACTTCATTCCTCCCCCTGCCGTTGGAATCTGCAGACCACCAGGGGTTGCCGCGCAAGTGCGTTTTAAAGGCACCCAAATAAAACAGCACTGCAGAGCTATTCACCCCTCTCCCTGCCTTGGCAATGCACAGGTTCTTCGTGGTGTTCTCGCAGGACGACCAGGGTCTGCCGCGCAAGTGGACGGAGGGAGACGACATCAAGGCCATTGCCTTCGATGCTCGCAAGGCGGTGAGGCACACAGGAAGGGAGGCCGTGAGGCACACAGGGAGGGAGGGGGTGAGGGGGGGTCGGAGGGAGGAGACTGTGAGGGGGTGGAGAGGTGGTGAAGGGGGGGGGAGGTAGTGTGGGGAGGGTAGGTGGTGAAGGGGGGAGAGGTGGTGAAGGGGGAGAGGAGGTGGTGAAGGGGGGGGAAGGTGGTGAAAAGGGGGAGGAGGAGGGGGGGGGGGGTTGCTGAGCTGCCGAAACCCTGTACCCTGAATTGCGCTTGCCGAGCAGACGTCGTCCACCTCCGTATCTCCCCTCCCCTTTTCCCTCCCTGCTTTCCCTTCCTTTTTCTCCCTTCCTTTTTCTCCCTTCCTTTTTCTCCCTTCCTTTTTCTCCCTTCCTTTTTCTCCCTTCCTTTTTCTCCCTTCCCCTCTCTTCCTCTCACCTCTTCCCCACCCCCTTTCCCTCTTTGCCCCCTTCCATCCTTCTTTCCTCTCGCCTCCTCTTTCTCCCCCGTCTCCGCCCCATCAGGCGCTGCGGCTGCTGGCAGTGGTGGCGGCGATGCGCCTGGACACGGTAGACGACTCCATCGAGCCCACGCTCTTGTCTCTTCTGGGGGAGGGCGCTCCTGGGGAGGGCGGTGACTCGTCTCGGACCCAGGACGGGGAGTCGGGGGAGGGGGACGGGGAAGTAGAAGGGGAAGGGGAAGGGGAAGGGGAAGGGGAAGGGGAAGGGGAGGGGAAGGCGGGGAGCAGGAGAGTGCAGCGGGTGTTCACGTCGGCAGGGCTGCTGGCGGCAAGCAAGTGGGAAAAGGTGAGTCGGTTGATGGCAAGAGGGAGTGGATGGCAATGCTTCTTGGCTTTTTGCACATGGCAATGCTTCTTGGCTTTTTGCACATGGCAATGCTTCTTGGCCTTTTGCACATGGCAATGCTTCTTGGCCTTTTGCAGATGGCAATGCTTCTTGGCCTTTTGCACATGGGACAAGACAAGGTGAGGCGCTGTTTTTTAATCATCACATCCTCCTTCCTGTCCTTTCCCCTTTTTATTCCCATTCTCGTTTGTTTTTCTTCCACCACCAGAAATCAACTAGTCTCCAGTGCGCCAGATTGCCTAACGACCAGCATCCTCGTACCCACCTTTGCTGCCAAGTCCTGCGCAAGCGCCCTTTCCCCCCCTTCCTCCCCCCGCCCATCAGATCGCCCCCGACTGCACGTTCCTCACACCCGGGCAGTGCCGAGCGCTGTGGGGCAAGTTCAAGGCGGAGACTCAGTACGTGGTGGCCCAGGCCATGCAGACGCAGGTGCGCTGTGGGGAGAATGGTAGAGTTCAGCTCTGCCCCACATACTTGCCTACTGATCTTGGTGTTCTTGCTCTCCCTGACTCCTTTTCCTTGCTCTCCCTGACTCCTTTTCCTTGCTCTCCCTGACTCCTTTTCCTTGCTCTTACCTTAAACTGCTCCACTGCCTGGTTTCGACAAGAAAGTATCGGCTTTGACAATGTACTCTTGCTCCGGGTCCCACAAGATCATAGCAAGTGCTTGCTGTACGGCAAACTGGACGGCAATCTGTGCCACCTGTATGCGATCGTTGATGTTTCTCCCTGTCTCTCCTTTCTTCCCCGTGCCCCATCCCTCACAGGAGGCGAGTCGGCGCAACAACGCGTGGCTGCCCCCGCCGTGGGCCATCCTAGCCATGGTGGTGCTGGGGTGGAACGAGTTCATGGCTGTGCTCAGGTGGGGTGGAACGAGTTCATGGCTGTGCTCAGGTGGGGTGGAACGAGTTCATGGCTGTGCTCAGGTGGGATTACTTCTCGTTGTTGCAGTTCGCAAGGTAGTGTGCCAGGTAGCATCGGCAAGGCCTGACCTGTCTGCTGCACCTGCTGCATGGCCAAACACTTGCTTGACCATCGGCAGTAGGGTGTTGGTAGGAGCTGCTCCGACCTCAGCAAGCCACACAAAACATTTGAACCAACACGGCCTAGAAGGCCTTGATCTTTGCAGTGACCAACCTCACCCCTTCCATGCACCCCCACCTCCTTCCTTTCCCTGCTGGCTGCTTCTCCCTGCGCCCTCTCTCTCCTCTCCCCCCCCCGGCATCCCTGCCACAGGAACCCCGTGCTGCTGCTACTGGGAGTGTTCCTCTTCTTCATCGGGCGGGAGGTCATGGCGCAGCTGGACCTGGGGGGCATCTTCGACAACGGCCTCGTGAGATGCTTTGTCCCATCCCAACACACGGTAGCTGCTGCCTGTGTTGCAACCTGATCTAAGATGCTGCCGTGCTTTGATGGGTGTTTAAAGGCTTGTTGATTGATGCGTATGACATACTAATGGAAGAAGATTATTGGAGGCGCACCCACCCTGACCCTAAACTCTAAAGACCCCTAGACTTTAGAAATCACTCATCCACCCCTCCACCGTCCCCTCTCTTCTCTCTCCCTCCTGCAGCTTCCTGGTCTCATCACTCTTGCTACCCGGGCAGGACCTAATCATCATCTTGTGCTGCAGCGTCTGGGCGAGCAGGTAGAGGCGCCATGATTAAAAGCTCCTAGAATCTCACTTCCCTCTCATCCCCCCTCCTCTCCCCCCTCCCTGCCCCTTTCCTGCATACAGGTTCCTGGCCTCATCACCCTGGCAGCGCGGGCTGGCCCCGTCATCATCTCTGTGCTGCGGCGCCTGGGCGAGCAGGCAGAGGCAGCGCTGAGTGCGCACAACGCCCCTGTGCCGGGGCCACTGCGCCCCAACTGGCGCAGCGAGGGGGACGAGGATGGGGGTGATGTGGCGATGCGGGATTTCAGCGCGGGGAGCAGTGGGGAGGGTGGGCTGAGGCAACGAGGGAGCAGGCGGGAGGGAGAGGGCAGGTGAGGAGTGGAAGGGTGAGGTTCTGACTCAGCTTTGTTAGGCAATGGAACACAATGTGGGGAGGGAGGGCAGGGGAGAGATGCAATGAGCATGCGACGGTGGTTGAAAGTGGATGGCTGTTGTGAGGGGATAACGGTATGGATGCAGCGAGCAGTGGGGGGGAAAGGCGTAGGGGCCAAGAGGGGTCTGGGTGCAGGTGGCAGGGGAGAGATGAAGAGGTGGTGCAGAGATGGTGGTGGTTCTATGCGGGGATGGTAGTGTTGCCATTACGGTCACACTGAGCATGCAATGACTCATGATTGTACTGCCTGTTCACTAATTTCTGATTAGTCTACTACATGGAAGAGGAGTGGTCGTCGTATAGACTGAATCATTACTGCAAAACCCACTGGCCTAATCATGAAATCATCCAACAGCTAATTTGATGGTATTGATGGCTTGCACGATCTACATACCTATCAGCTTAGGAGCAACTGGTTGCTTATCAATCACTTAAATTTGGCTGCTGCCTGTGTGACTGGAGGCACCAGCCAAACATTTCAAACCATGTGCAGCACAACTGACTGGCTGAAATGGGCCACATCAACTTCAAGAATGAACGAGACTGGTTGAGAGAGGTTGAGAGGGGTTGATAAGAGTTGATAAGGTGGGAGGGAGAAGCTTGTTAGCAGCTGCGGCAAGCAGCATGGGTTGGACAAATAGCTGCAAGTGCTCAACAAGTACGTGAGAAGGTGGGAGGAGAGGTGCTCTGCCCCCAGCAGAGCTGCCTTCAGCAGGGGCTGTGTGCAGCAGCACTGTCCACTAGGCTGCCTTGGCTCTGAGGGCAGCGTCTCTGGCCTGCCTCTCCGCCACCATCTGCTCCAACCGCTCCAAGATCTGAGGAGCACAGCACAGGGCACCACCACATGGGCGCATGATATGGCACAGCAGACACATCAGGGGAACAGCAATGCACAGGGCAGTGCAGAAAGCCAGCGAGGATTACAACATGAATCTGTGAACCCACATGTACCAGCAGCAGCCAGCAACCATGCCCACATGATGATCACTGGGTGTCTCCTTCTGCAGTTTTTCTACACAACATCCATCCCCTCTCTTCCCTCCTAGAAGCACTCTGTATCTTGCGATTTGTGAACTCACACTCATCAGGATGACAAGCATGTTGGGGTGTTTGCTCTTTTGCAACGCTCAAAGGCCTCACAAAGAAGAAGGGATACACGTCACAAGTTGATTAATTGTGGTTGTATCACTACTGAGTCCTGACACTTCTCAAATGTGAAGCGAACCCCTTCCCGACCAGGTTGAATTGGGAAAGCAGTGTGCCTAAGGCAATGCATTCCGTGTTCTTTGGTAGGGCTGCAGTGCGCGAGTGCGCGTGTGCGCGTGCGCGCGTGTGCGTGTGTGCGTGTGTGCGTTGTGAAGATTGTAAAGTGAATCATTAGTTTGATTAGGGAAAGAAAGGGCATACATAGGATGCAAGAGGAGCTTGGAAGGGAAGGGGGAATGTTGGGTGGTTGGGTAGTCCCTATGGCAACTTGCAAGGAGGGGGCACCCAACTTGCAACAAGGACCATGTGGGTTGCAAAAAGGGGGTACCCAACTTGCACTTGGGGGCTCCAACGCTTGTGGGTTGGATTGACACCCCAACTTGCAAGTCTACACCCAAAGTTGGGTGTAGTCCTACAAAGCAAGCTACACCCAAAGTTGGGTGTAGCCTCAACCCCTTTTATACTTAGCATGCTATACACACATTTCTAACATGCGTGTGTGTGTGTGTGTGTGCG